AAGACTGATTAATTTAGAGAAATTCCATATTTTGGCTTTCATTCCCATGGTCTTAGCTACAAAATTTTCTGTACTGCTCCTCTCCCATTAGCCTCATTAAGTAATCAGTGAGCTTTAGATGCTAATGCAATATATAGACTATGCAGATATAGGTATCCATGATAGGATTTATGCAAGTTTGGTGTAATCTTATACTCTGAATATGTGAAAGTAGAGTGGCAGCAAACAAAGTTAGATTTTTTTCAGTGTCTTAAGTTCCAAATTAATGCATTTTTTTTTGATCATGCTCTTGCCTATTTCAGGGCATGTTCAGTTCTGACACTATCTCTGAACCATAGGTACAATTGATTGCTGCAGGAATAAAGATCAGGACTTCAAAACTTCCTGAAGCCTTCAGAAAGACTGAATGAAATGCATGATATAAAAAATAGAACCAAGCCTTTATTTTATAAGAATTTAGTTATTATAAGCAACAGACCCAATTTCACCTAGTTTTATTCTCCATTGACGGATCCAAAGATTTCTCTAATTTTCCTTACAATTTCAATTTTTGTGCCTTCTCACAAGCCTGTGAAGCTGAGAAACCAGTCAGGTGTTTGAATGCAAGGGTTAAACCAAGACAGGTATGACACAGTGCATGCCATACAGATTTCCTGAACCAGGATATAGGAGATCCCTCACAGATATGAAGGCTGAAGCTGTTTCCTTTACACAGCAGTGAAAAGCAGCATGACCTACTTCTCCCACTGAGATGAATTGCCAGGAAGGATGCAGATGGTATTTCTGTACCTTTGATGGGGTATCCTGTCCCCTTGGTAGGGTCTGTGGATGAACAGAAGGTGCAGCCTCAGTGTGCCATGCTGTAGCTGTCTCTGGCTGAGAAGCAACTGCCAAAGAGGAGGAGGAGGACGAAAAAGGAGGGAGACATGACAGTCAGACCACCATGATTTTAACATGTATGCCAAACTACCTCTTTTAACAAATTATTTGGTGCTGTTATTTCTATTCTACTAAGTTGTATGAGCTTAAAATATTTAGGTTTTAGCTTTGCTTTTTCACCCAAATATTATTCCTATCTAACATAAAGGTTTCTTCTTTTTGAAATATGATGATTTGGTGCTGTACGATTCTGCTATGCAGTTGTGGTAGGCTGACCTTGACTGGACGCCAGGTGCCCACCCACCTGCTCTATCACTCCCATTTCCAGCTGGACAGGGTAGAGAGTAAGGTGGAAAAACCACTTGTGGGTTGGGATAAGGCAGTTTATTTAAAGCAAAAAGTAAAGTGGAAGCTTGTGCGTGCAAGAAGTGAAGTAAAAGATAGCAGGGTTTATTCTCTTCTTCCCATGAGCAGTGATGGTCGGCCAGCTTCCGAGAAGCAGGGCTTCAGTACACATGATGGTTCCTCAGCAGGTAGCCATTGGAGACAATGAATGCCTTCCTGCTCCTTGCCTTAGCTCTTATATCTGAGCTGACGTCATATGGTCTGGAATATCCCTTTGGTTAGTTTGTGTCAACTGGCTTACTTGGGTCCCCTCCCAGGATCTTGCCCTCAACTAAGGAAGGAATGTTACAGTGCTGATGCTGTGTTCAGCGGTAGCCAAAACACCGATGTGTTATCAGCACCCTTCAAGCTACCAATGCAAAGCACAGCACTGTGAGGGTTACTGTGGGAAAATGAACTTCAGCTTAGCCAAACCCAATACAGCAGTACACCTGGAAAGCTTTTCCATTTCCAAGTAAATAAGAAAAGAGAACACTTGTAAAGTATTCATTGTTTATTTTTGAATTACTGCTTGGCACACTTAGTCAACATATTAGAAACTGGTGAGTTGAAAGTCCCAAACTTTCCTTTTTTTTTTTTTTTTTTTTAATGGACAGAGAAAATGGGCTCCGATCTGGTGTATAATTAGTCGTGTCCGGCACATCTTCTTGGGCAGGGAGATAAACTGCTGCCTCTGCCAGCTGGGGCAGTGCCAGTACCATGAACTAGCACAGCATGCTCCAGAAGCTTCTCCTTCTGCCCCAGCATAAATCAGCATATTCCCAAGAGGGCAGAGGAGGTGAGTAAGCAAGTGGTAAAAGCACAGCAATTGTGAGCCACGCAGGCATTCTCCTGGAAAAAGATCCTCTCCAACCTGCTTCTGAAATCTGTTATTAAAGTATTCTCTACTGAAAGCCAGGAGGTCATGCTTCGGTCATACCTTTAGGGTGTTACGTAAAGGGATTCTCTTCTTAACTTAGGAAAAGAGACCTATATGACAAACTGAAACTCTGCTTGGAAGAGAAATTCTTCCTCTCCTTTCTCTTCCTCTACTTCTGAGTCTGGTGTTCTTTTATCTCTTGCACAACTGCATACAACTAAATGCAGTTGTAGACTGAACAAAAAAAATGACTCTACATAAGCATGCGATAATGGAGATTAGAAGACAAGGTATTCATAGCTTTAAATCAAGTCAAAATGCTTTTAGATACTGAAGACAAAAACGTAATGAAAAAGTCATAGGTATGCTCTATCAGGGTGCAGCAGGTTGCCAGTGCTCTGCATGACAAGAAATCTATGGAGGAGGAATGAAAAAGAAATGAAGAATATAAACAAGATGGAAAAGAGAGAGGGGTAAAGCTAGAGGGTGATGCTAACAGGATAAGAGTTCTCATACAAAGCCAGATCAAGGACTTTTTAACTTACTGGTAGGTATCTGACTGTGGTCAATAGTGGATGCTGGAAGAGAACACAAAAACACATACTAATATCTCTCCCAGACAATCTCCCAGATCAAAGAAATAGTCAGTGGAGACGTGTTTCTTGAGCACGTTTGCCCTTTGTTGTGTCCAACTGATTTTTCTTCAATCATTTTTTAAACCCGCATAGACCCTTATATTCACAACACCGTGTGTCAGGGAATTGAATAGCTTAACCACAAGGACTGTTTTCTAGTGTTTTGGAATCCATCACCTGCTTGTTTCTTTCATTGACATTTGCATCTTTGCACTACTTGTGTGGGAAGAGACTGTGAGTGACGGTGAACCTTTTACCGCTGTACACCTTCCTTACTAAAGATTGTAGGGACCTACATCATATTTCTCGTCTGTCACCCCATTTCCACTCTGAAGACTCCTACCATACCCAGCCATTCCTCAAGCACACACACTTCACACCCTGGCCACCCTTCTCTGTACCTAACTCTCTTCCACCATGCCTGGTTTGAGAAGGGGGACCAAAACTGCTCTTGGTAATCAAAATCTCTCTACCGTGGAATTATACTGGACCAATAATTATATTTTTTGATTTGTTCTCTACTTCTCCCTAATTTGAATATTTTATTTCCGTTGTTTTGTCTGACACTTGAGCCAGTGTATTTATACAACTGTTTAGCATCATGGCAGTGCTTCACTTCTGAATGACAATAGTCAGCTGAGAGCATCCTGTTTCCTATGTGAAGTTAAGATCTTTCTGTGCATTATTTCAATTCACAGGTTTTAGAGACTACAACAAAATCTGTTCATAAAGGGAATTTTTACTATATTAACTTTATGTATAGATCTCTTCATACTGTACTTATTCAAGGGTAGATATAATTATTGTGTCTTTTATATCATGACCTGCTAGTGACAGAAAATGCCCACAGAGATCTAGCAGAGAATTTCCTAATGGAAATACAGCTTATATTAGAAAAAGAGTGCTTTAGCTTGTGTAGATTATACTCATTTCCCCCAGAAGAGTAAATTATATGAGTAGAATATTTTTGTGCCCATGTCAATTTTTATAATTGCATCAGCACTGAAGTTTAGTCAGAATGGAAATTTTGAGAATAAAATCAACAGTCCCAAATGACATTGAGAGATGGGCAATTTTTTCTTCCATAAGATTGATCTTTGCCATCAGACATATGGCCTGAAAATGTGGGTGAAGATAATCTGATGACCTGATTTTCATTTGGGCACTTCTATGAGAAAATAAGAATCTGTATCTTTGCAAAATAATGATAAAACCTATTGTAGGTGGTATGTCATCACATCCCATATTTTTTTCTGTGGAAAGTTCATCCAGAGATCTCACCCACCAAGTGAGCAGAAAGGATGCTAATTGCTGTCCAGTGCTTAAATGGACTGTTGTGTTTGTCCTTCTGAAAGATACTGTGTAGACGAAATGTTATGGTTTTGTCATGACCTGTTTGCTTCTATTCCGTATATTCACTGAGACCAGGAGCCTAGATGTTCTAGCAGAATCTATCCAGTGCTTTTGCAGGAAAGTTTTTCAACTCCAACTCCAGAAATATTTTTTATTTTCATCCCTCATGTTTCCAATCAGTTATTCTGTTTAATTGGTATGATTGCAGTTGTTATTTATGATTTTCAAAGGCTTAAAAAATCATTAAATATTATGAATTCAAAAAGTAGTTTTTCATCATCCTAATGATTTTCTTCTTCAGCATAAATGTTCCATTTCCTATTTTCTGATTGCCCTCAACTCATCACATCTATATATATATCCTGTTCACACAGTCCTTGGGCTCAAGGTTGAAGGACATGCACCTGCATGGGGGGAAGACCTTTGAGCAGGACGTTGAGTCCTGTTTGGCATATCAGAAGAGGTGGAGAGGACTGTGGGGGAGGGGAAGCTGGAAAGGGGGCAGCTGGTCTCCCCTGAGCTTGCCCTTTCCCGAGCTTGCCCTCCCCCAAGGACCGCACAAGACCATCAGAGATAAGCATATATGTACATACAATAAATAAACCCATGCATATATACGTATATTTTATACGTGTATTTGTGTGTGTGTATGCACACACATTTATGTATATACGTATGTACGGTGTACATTTAGTTTGTATATAGACATATGCATGTACGTATATGCTGGTATACCTATGGGCACGAAATCCTCGGTTAATTATCCTTCGGGAGGAGTTTCCAGCCCGGAAACCCAGTCTCTTCCCGGCTGGAGCGAAGTGCCCTCCGCCTCTCCCGCCTCGAACGCGCTGCCGAGGCTGAGGCAGAGCCCAGGAGCTCCCCCGGACCTGCCAGCTGCTGCAGGAGGAGTGAGAAGGACCCCACCTCGAGTACTGCTCCCCCCGAGACTATTCTTGCCCGATGTTCACACAGATACGCAGACACAGGTGGGTGCGGGACACTCCCACGCACAGCCATCAGATGGCAAGGGACCCTCCTCGGAGGGCAGGGAGGGAAGGGGAAGGAAAGCAAGCCTTTTCTCTGCTTCTCTTTGTTTGTAATTAGGAAAGACTTCAATCGTAAAATCTTAAGAGCCCTCTGAGGTGCTTCAGAGCAAAGGTAAATTCACCTCATGACAGAACAGAAAGGTAAAACAGATGGCCACCTCTGGGGTTTGCCCGCGACACGAGTAAAGTGTCAGTGGCCCGTTAGTTCCCTGTGTTCAGGCGGATAAATAACCCCGGAGATAAATGATCTCCACCAACTCTGAGAGGGGGCTGCCTTTGTCTCTACCCCTCCCGGTGGAAGCGGGCTCTTGCCGGAGGGGCGCAGAAGAGGGCGGCGAACAAAGGAAAGAAAGCCCTGTCACCGTCCTGCTGTCGGTACAGAAGACGCCCGGCATCCCTGCCCGTCCCGAGCAGGCTCCCCTGAAGGGGACACTAAATAATTGATCAGAATCGATTGCCTGCATGCATTGGAAAGGGAAAGAGGGCGCATCCCTTGCGTGCAGCCAGCTCCTTCCCCCATTTGCGCTGTAATCCTATTCCACCATGTGCGGATAGATGAGGGGACGTTAACTCAGCCTTCAGGCCTGGGCGGGGTTCTCGCCGTTTAATCTCTTCCTTTCTCTTCTCTTCGCTGCTTTCCTCCCTGCCCCCCCCCTTTCCGTCTCCCAGGCCCAGTGAGGTCAGCTCATTTTCCTGAGAGGCTCTGGCAGCGGCGCGTACCTCGTGTGCGGTGCCCAGCTCTCCGTGCATGCATTTCGCCAGCCGAGCAGCAAACGAAGTGGTGGTGAGTAATGCGGATGCTTTAGATCCAAGCCTTTTTTTCTCCCTCTTTTTTTTTTATTTTTTTTTCCCCCCCGCTCCAAAAAGGGAATGTTACTCGGGATCCAGATGCAACAAACCCGCCAGGTATGAGGGGGGACCCTCGAAAATCCCCCCGCGCCTCTAAACCGGGACAAAAGGCAGAACGCTCCCAAAGCTCAAGGCCGCGTTTGCAAATTCTCGCGGAGAGCAGAGGCGGCCCCCGGCGGCGAAAGGGCCGGGCCGGGGGGGTTACCCTGCTCGAAGCCCCGGGCGGGAGAGAGCCCCGCGCCGGCGCGTAGAGCCACCGGACTGCTCCCTTTTGTTGCTGCCATTTATTTACCCGGTTTTCCGCCTGGACAAGAAAACCTGCGGAGACGCCGCGGCCCGGTGCCACGTGGGTTTGCCTCTGGGGAGAAGGTTGTGCCGCGGAGTTTTGTGAGGACGGAGATTTCGGACTTGAGCTCAAATGGGCTTTCGTTGTGCCAGTTAAAAAAAAATGTATATGTTTATATTTATCTAAAATCAGCCAACTTAACCGTAGGCGGTAGCCGATCCTGGAATTCGGGGCATGCAGGGTGCTGGCTGTGTTCTGGTAGGTCGCGGCTGATGACTTAGTTGCAGTGAAAGTTCCCGAAAAGATTCAGATATAGCATAGGGTTCCCGATTATTAATTTTAATTTAATTTTATACATTGCGTACCTATATAGCTCCAAACAACTGTAGTGTGGGAATTCTGTTTGTGTTGGTTAAATAGAAATGCAAAGCAAATCTTTTATAAAGTGTTGTGATACAAGTTTTGGTAGGTAGGTCTACACTCCCATGCGCCTTTTTTACTAATTAATGCCTGGGAAGTTTCTGCCTAATTGTGTCATTCTGAGAATTAATTTCCAGATATATATCAGGTTGATAATGACAGTGCATTTGAGAGGAAATGCTGTGCTCCTGCCAGTGAGAGCAGAGCAAACAGAGCCTCATTGTCTAGTATGTTCCAGGGAGTAAACCAATTGTCAGGGTACGGTATAGTGTCTACACTGACTTTGCCCAGTTGTGCTTCTTTCTTTATTCCCTGTTTTAGCAGGGAACGTTTAAGCCATGTTCTGGGAGGGAAGTGGTTGGCTGTGTTAGGAATGCTGTCATTTCTGCTGTTGCCCACGTTTTCCCTTTAAGGACAGTTGAATAAAGGCTGTGTGAAAGCAGTTTATGGATCATAGCCATTTTTTTAAGAATATATTGAGTGATATTAACAGCATGATATGGCTTTTAACAGCCCTTTTTCATAATATGTTGCAGCCATCAAAACTCTGGTTGTTTCACTGTATGGGAAAATTGCCAAGTGAGCACCCTTCAGAGAATACCACATAACATTTTGTTCTGGATAAAGCTGTATTCCTTGCTTTGGTTTGAAAATCTGCTGAGTGATTATACCTCAGTCCTGTATAATCTACTGATCTGCATAACCAATAATAAACATGAAACAGTGCATCTGGGTAACAGACTGGGACAAATTCGTGTTTAGAAGCTGATTGAAGAACCACTTTCCTTTATGACCCTCGATTGCCAAGTCACCTTGCCCTGGAAGAGTCCTTGTCAATGCTGAAGGAAAATCTGTACTTGCTTTCATGTGTGCAACCCTTTGTAGAACAGCTTTCCCCCTCTTGGCTATAACAGACACCTGGAAGAGGCCTTTGACCAGGCAGACAGGTGCATTAGCAACCCAGGCTTGGTGTTGAGGACGAGGGAGAAGTTTGTGTGTACAAGGAAATTCATCCTTAATGTGGTGGCCCTTCGGGGGAAGGTTCGGCATGGGGGTTGGGGAAACGCCCCGAGGTGCAGGCGGAGTGGGAACAGGT